GAAAATCTGAAAATTGCTTAAATAAATAAAGCTGGGATTTTTTCTTTTTGTTTGTGTGTGTGTGTGTGTGTGTGTGTGTGTGTGTGTGTGTGTGCGTGTGTGTGTGTGTGTGTGTGTGTGTGTGTGTGTGTGTGCGTGAGTGTCTGTTTTTGTGTATGCGTGTGTGTGTGTGTGTGTTTCTGAGTGTCTGTTTTTGTGTATGTGTGTGTGTGCGTGCAAATATTAGGTACAAATTGTGATTAAATAAAATACAGTTTGTTATTTATTCGTACGCACACTCCTTTTGGAAAGCTTTAAGTGTCAAGGATTAACTCCAGGTCTCCAAAGACCAACTCGTTTTACTTTCATGACATAACTCATTATTTGGATATGAACCGAACTTTCAGCACAGTGTGACAGTAACAATAACAAAAGATAATCACATTGACCGTAAATCAACCCCAAATTATCAATAACTAATCTGGTCATTCATTCCCGTCGAGTATTTAGACAGATTTTCTTTGAGCTTATTTTCTGAACATGCGAAATGAACTACTTCTCAATTTAAATCCATTTGCAAATCTGCTTTTTTTTTTCTGCTATTATAATATAACGTATAAGTAAGAGCACATAGTGTTATGTGTCTTTGATTAGCCCTAGTGTGAAAAGTGAGATTAGCTCTTGGAAATATATGAATCCATCTCTTCCACCCACAGCAAGGGGTTAATAGCAGGACAGACCATTCTTTCTAGCTTCCAAAGTATCACAAATGGGAGAATCAGACAAAGTGTTAGGGAAACTTGGTTGAAGATTTTTTTTTTACCCAAATGAATCCTTTCTCCCGCCATTACTAGAACTGCCAATCCACTGACCATTGGGAGCTCGGATCAGCCGTATTTTTGTGAGAGACAAATCCATAATATCAGCAATAGAAAATATATTGAAAAGAAGTTCTTTTACTGTTGTTTTATATCTCCCTCCTTTCTTTTCGTCTGTCCTTTCTTTGGGCAAAATGGCGGCATATGTAATAGCTCAGAAGAGTTCTTATCGATACCAGTTTCGATATGAAAAAAAAAAAAGTCTCCTCCTTCTGTACTCATTCCAATTATATTTTAAGAAGGATGTGCGTGTTAAGTAATGGATAGCGGCACGTATTGAGAAATCAAAGAGCCAAGTTCGAATTCCAGTCCGGACCGTTATATTCACTTAAGCGCAAACATCCATCTGTTTGAAAAGGCATGAATCTATCTCCCCCCCCCACGAACCTATGGAGTAAATAGTAAGATTGCGTCTGGAAAAAATCATTGTTATACTCAATAAAAATTGTTAATACAATATTCAGTCGAAAAGAAAGAATGATCCTTACAATCCAAAATACGTTTCAGTTTAAATAAACCACAAAGGCTTGATCAACCAATCAAAACATATTTTAAGATAAAGGTCAGTATTTATTAACAGATTAAGCCAATCATGTGATCTGTCTTTCATTCGGTTTTATATTAACTATAATCGTTATATTAAAAATTTTAAAATAATAATAATAATAATGTTTATTGACATGGCAGTCCTTGCAGGTTGTAAGGTATCTTTGAACATCTTCAAAAACTATCAAATGTCAAGGATGTTGAAATGGAAATCTGAAAAATGTAGCACATGAGGACATCAATAATTCCAGTTGTAGTTGGAGCCCTCGGTTTGATTGGAAAAATGTTCCGATAGACACAGTGAAGGGATTCCTGCCTTAAAGAAATAAAAAAAAAATGTTCTCACAAGTATAGATCACACATTACGAAGATCGATGTAAAATGGTATGTGATCTTACTTTTTTTTTTGCTTTTTTTGTTAAAAAAATGCTCAATAGAAAATGTCATGACATTTCTGACCTTAGGTCTCTGGCTGGGACCCAGAAAGAAATGAGTATACAACAGAAATCAAAGGAATAATAATAATAATAATAATAATAATAATAATAATAATAGAAAGTGCATCAAGCTTCGTATTGAGGTTGCAAGAATGTGTCACTTTCAGGCTACTATTTGTCCCAGTTATAATTGCGGCGTTGGGGTCAATACATTAAGAAAATAAAAAAACAAAAAACAAAACAATACAAATAAAAAATCGCCTAGTATTCCATCAATTCAAAATTCTGCATTGCATGGCCAGGCAAATATTCTGCGAAATGTGCTATCTGTTTGACGGCGTACGACTTGATGGGGTGGGGGGGAGGTTCATCCATAATTCAAAATCTCCTGTTCAAAACTAAAAACTGAGCGGAAGAAGAGAAGATAATAATAATAATAATAATAATATGAAGATGCAGTCATATTACCATATTATTTATGATGTCATTTAATAATTTCTTCAAACTCATTTTTATTCTCATTTTAGTTGTTTTTTTATCACAACAACACAGTGACGCCTTCAAGCCGTCCTCAAGTGTAATTTGTATCTTTCACTCAACAGGTATGCTAATTACATCTTTCGGCAACAATTCCCCGTGGCTTAGCAATTAGCAGCGTTGAAAGTGGGATTGCCGTTACGTGTTTAAATACCAGCTGAGACGTTTGCTTTTGTACAAATATCCATCTTTTCTCCCCACCACCAAAGGGAAAAATAGTAAGGCAAACCTTCTAGCTTTGGTTGGCAACCAGTCTAGAATGAAAACTCTGAATTCAAAACTGCTTGGCTTGTGGCGGGTAACTGCACTCCATTAAGTAGGTATTTGCTATAGAAAAACACAGTAGCAACATATTCCCATTCCAAGATATTGAATCAGATTTTCAGATTATTTAACTAATGACCCCTCTTAAGGGATCATAATGATATTAACAATTGGAATATTGTTAACTTTCCCTATTTTAAATCATACTGGTTATGAAGTTTTTATGAAGTTCATAAAAAAATGATCATTTTTCAGACTACTGTCTCCATAATTTTAGGTCTCTCAAAAAGTACTACTGATACCATATAACACAATACTATTTGTTGTATGGTCAGGTCATTGATGACTAAACTGGTTCCCTCACCAGGCTTTTCTGGTGAGAAGGGTGGCTAGATAACGAGTAGGATTAAAAACTTTCAAAGGATGAATGAATATTTTTGCACGGTCAATGGCCATCTAACACAATGGGGTAGACTGCGCTCTATAGAAGCCAGTGTGGTGATCACACGGCGGCATTGATGGGAGAAGGAGCTTCCTAGACCGAAGTCAAGGACTGGTGTGTGTGGGGGGGGTAGTGTACCTCAGATTGAATCAAGGGCCACATGTTCGTGACGAAGGTGAACTTTCAAATTATAGAATATCAGCTATGGTTTGATCTAAAGAGAGATAGGCTCCAACTGATCTACTTACTCAAGACACGCTACGCATAAATGACTGCACCTCCGGACAGATATGAGGAGGAAAATGGTCAGGTGCTCAACCACTCGACGACTCTCCGACCACTACCTGTCATGTGAATTATGATGACAATTATGTCTTAATCATGATAGTTTTTAAGATTAACTTAAAAAGATTCTACTTTCGTCTATCGCCCTACTAACCTACCTAATGAGTTTGTGTAAAGGGATTAGGAGAGATAACAAAAAGATAAATATTAGTAAGAGCTACAAAGGACAGGTTGTTGTGGAGAGCCATGATTACCAACATCCTGAAGAGACACACGGCACATAGAAGAAAATATTAACTCAAGACAAACAGGTTAGTTTCCAATAACAAAATATCAATAAAACTATTAACTTAAATTAACACAGTCCGGTTCACGTCACTCCTTGGTCTTCTGAACAGGAGTAGAGGTTTATTCCTTGTTTCCTGTTTAGGATTTCTTTTCCTAAATTCTTCTCATTTTATTTCACTCCCAGTAGCCCCTGGCATCTTAGTGGCATTATCGCTTTCCCTGGAATTGAAATGATTAAAAAAAAAAAAAAGAAAAATTTAGAGGAATTGATAAATAAAAAGCATGTGTCAGATAATCTAATGACGAATGATCCAACTTTCTTGTCTGCCTCGTAAATCAGCGTTCGACATCCTGACTCTTTACGCCATTTAGAACACGGATCACTGGTACCAGTTTGAAGTACCTTATGAATTCAGTGGACTTTATGAATTTAATGTACCTTATGAATTCAGTGGACTTTATGAATTTAATGTACCTTATGAATTCAGTGGACTTTATGAATTTAATGTACCTTATAAATTCAGTGGACTTTATGAATTTAATGTACCTTATGAATTCAGCCAGCGAGGAAGCACACAAGATTTACATTGATATAATCATCACCTGAAATTCTCACACTGAATATTATCAATATTCCACATATTTTCACGAATATTATTATTTTTTGTATTGCGTTTAGAAAGGCTTTTGTCGATGGCACGTTTCTTGTTTGTGTTGCAAGATTTGTCGTAACAGGTTTGTTTATAATGTTAAAAGCCAATATCTGAATGAAATTAAAGCCTCATTTCAAATGCTAAATTACAAAGAGAACGGATACGCAGATTTCTACTGGAGCATTTAAACTACTCTCTTTCTAACTCGCTCCAACATCAGCACATTCACATTTTCATCGTCTTTCGTGCGTACATTGATGACGAAATTATGTATATGTGCCAAGAAATCTTTAGCAAAGAATAAGCCATTTTATTATAAGTCTAGTATTTTCTTTATTTCGCTTGGTAAAATTTTCTTTTGCGAAATAAAGACGTGGTTTTATTAGCGATAATATTTGTATGATTTTGATATAAGATATTTTGCAAGACATTTTGCCCTCTGTGTTTGTGTGTATGGGCGCGCAAGAGACGATGCGTGTGAGGCCCACTAACAGAGAATTAAAGCTGTGTACACAAACGGAATTTGGAAAGAGAGACGAGAAAATATGTGAAGACGAAAATTCCTCAGCGCCAGTTTACATGAATGCTCGATTCATATTGGCTTTACGGTTAACAAAGGAGAAAATGATGAATGAGGAAAAATGAAAGAAGAGAAACAGAATGAGAAGGAAAAATGAAAGAAAAAAAAGGATTACAATGAAAGTTGAAAGAAGAAGAAGAAGAAGAAGAAGAAGAAGAAGAAGAAGAAGAAGAAATAAACGCCGAGAACAAAATTCGGAGGGGAACGAAAGAATGAAACAAGAAAGAAGTAAAAAAGAGAAATGAAAAAGGCAAAATGAACGATTGTACGAACGAATGTTGAAAAATATGAATGAAAAGAGAAAACTTGAACGAAGAAAGGAGAAAAAGGCGGGAAACAAAGAAGGTAAAAGAAGTCATTGGTGAGAGAGTTGAGTATTTCTCTAGTGGTACGAGATATCAATATTTGTACCCAGGTAAAAATAAAAGTTTCAGAATGCTGATTTTCGAGGTAGGTACATTCTTAACGCATAAAGAAATTGGCACAACGCGCCGTAGCCCATTTGGTTTCGTCACATTAAGCTTGTGAGCAAATGTTAAAACAATGGATGGGGAATAGAAGAATTATTAAGCATAGAAGGAATCTTAATTATCTATTTTATTCCTTTTAAACATAAATAAAATTTTCGATCTTTTTCTGGATAAAGGGACGAAAGAAATGAAATAAGAGAGAAAAGTCAAAATTCGGCAACGAAAGAAAAATAAAAGAAGGAATAAAAGAAATAAGGAAATCGCAAAAGAAAGAAAGAATTATTGAATGCAATAAGACATTAAAGAAACGTGGAAAAGACTTGGAAAAGAACGAATTTAATGAAGGAAAGAGACTCGAAAAAGATACAAATGAACTCTCGAGACGGAAAGGGCGAAAGAAAAAAGGAAAGAGTAAAGAAACGGTAAAAGAAGAAAGAATCGTGAGAAAAATGAAAGTATAATTAAATGAAAAATTTGAAAGAGAAAAGCAAAAGCGAAGGAAGCGGTACTTAATTTCACTGCTGCTGCTGCTGCTGCTGCTGCTGCTGAATGTACCAACTCAAAACGTGTTATCGTCCGTGATATTGAGAACCGTCCCAGAATTATTCTCCATGAAAGAAAGACATGAATCGCGTTAGGTGACAAACAGGTCATAGATCGATAAATATTGATAGCGAACGATGAAGAAAGGCGGATCAAGGATGGGAAGGCGTGGCTCAACGACGATGACTATTTGAGTGAATGGAAAACGTTGCTTCTGTCCGACACTGAAAGACACGTGTATTTTAGCCTGAGTGGAACAGCTGGATATCAGAAGCGCTACCTTTCCTACCTACTTATATATATATATATATATATATATATATATATATATATATATATAACACTGGCCTTTGGCCTGCCTATGTCTTCGAGGTTGGCGTTTTATTCTGGTGGAGCATAAAGACAGTACCTTCACTCCATACATTATTTTATTGGTTTTCAATTTTTCATTCTTACCAAAACGTTTCCACACAAAGGAACAGAATATTCTCGGTTAAAATATGTAGAGAAATCTTAAAAAGCACAAATTCAGCCATTTTGTTAAGGCATTAACACACACGTACGTATGAATGCACGCTTACAAACACATACGATCTCTCAGAGACTTCAGTAATATATATAAAGATATCAGAATATTAAGCAGTAAATAAACTATAAATAAATCCGAAGGCCCGTTGGAATAGCCAAAGATTTTTTTTTCAAAACCTAAACAAAATATTAAGAAACAGATAAATATCATGAACGGGCCAGTAAAGTTTTAATAAAAATGGACACAAAAAGACACTTATCCTTAGAAAATTGGACTTATTAGAGGGAAGAGGCGCAAAAAATCTTAGAACTACAAAAAGAGCAAGGATCATTTACCTTTTTGAAAGAGAAGAAGTGGCTTCGTTTCTCACCATCTTTGTTGATTTACGCTTAATGAATACCTATGACTTTCGGTGGTCTTGCGACTAACTAAATTTTTAGGTTTGGTTTATTTTGTTTTAAGGCATATCAACCTCAAAGGGTTATTTAATACCGACAAGATTTTTAGGATAGTTTCGTTGGAATAGAATATATATTTTTTGTAAGAAATCAGATTGACGTATTTTTGTAAAGTGGGGTTTTGTCGAGAGTCAGATGTGTTGCCGGTAATTTTTTTTCTTTTTTCAAAAATGTATTGCTGGTATTTTTATTATAAAAATGTATTTTCATACTTTCATAGTGTTTTGACCCCAGTATTGGGATAACTATTTGTCCATAGCTGGGACCCTAATAGATGCTACCAACCCGGGTCAGGGTGGACCTAGGAAAAACAGCTATTAAGAGGTGGTTCCATGATTCTCAAATCCTCCCGATCAGGACAATAAGTTTTTAGAGCACCTCGGTGCGCGGTAATGTTTAGCGAGCGAATCCGTTTGATTATTAATATTGAGTAGTAAGTTCAGTCCTTGTCTTGGCGTTCTGTACGTGCTGCCATTTGACAGACTAAACTAGCTTGAGTAAAATAACAACCACTTTTGTACAACAAGCGTCTCGTATATGTGTGTTCTGTACCAGCTTTGATTTTGACACCGCATTTTGGGCTGCCCAACTTACTGAGAACCATATATTTTGTCTTTTTACAATTGATCGTTCACTCAGTAATAATTGATCTGCATGACTAGCTCATTAACCATTACACCAGAACGTAGATCAACGGATATCAATTGTTCAACTGCTTGTTGGCTGAGCTATTTGCGTAATATGTATGTATATATTGATACTGTTTCTCATTGAGCATTGTAAAAAAACAAAAAAACAAAACAAATCAAAGTTACATTTATCTTCTTTATTTCGATATATACGTACACACATATATCATAGGCCATCCTGTGATTTGCAAGATCTATGCGAGACAGACAGATTTTTCCGCAGTGGCTCCAAAATAACGGGATTGGTAGCTGAAAAAGGCACCATTTTTATATCACCATTTGCTCTCCTCTACACAGTCTGATTATTTATAGGGTGCATCAATTGAGAATACACACATTTAGCGGGCCATAAATGGAAGGTAAACTTACGTAATGCTACGAGGCCTACGCACAATTTTATCATTCCCCATTTCTCGTACCGATATATCGAGAAAATTAATATAGGACCTTCTAATCTGATGCGAAAAATGAGAAGTCACTTCATACCCATGGCATAAGTTGCCAGTCACAACAATTTGGAGATAGCAAACTTCATGAAATTGACTAGGAGAACGGTAGAAAGTACAGGTGACTGGAGGAGAACGCATGGTTGTTCACATCTAGAAAAACTAGAGAAAGAATCAGCTAAAATAATTTATGTATCGTAATAATATCAACTGCCCGATGTGAGTCGGGGTAAATACAATAGATAATGAAATAACGAACGAGAGAGTCGTTTTGATAGATCAAGAAGAGGAAAAATATAACAAATCAAGAATTTAAAGACATAAAATATACAGTGTGGTTTTATAAAATACCAGAAACAACATTTTTAATTATTTTTTCTTTGAGTAATATGACAAATTCAAAACTGTTCTAATCTATACATATGTGCTCATATGCATTATAAATACTCTGTAATTCATATAAACTTCTTTTTATTCTATTTCTGCAGATAATTATATTTAAATACATTAAAATGTGGGATCTATCTGTACTACCTCCCTATACGCGCCCGTCTCGTGCGCTTGCGCACACCAGACAGCTAGACAGCTTTGCGGCAATGAAAACTCTGAAAACAAAGTCCCGCTCATCAGTAGATTTACTGAAAGCAAAAATAGGTAAACTAGAAAAAAGAAATACATTCAAACTTGAGATTAGTTTAGTCAGAATAACAAATAAAGAGATAAAAAGAAAAGGAAAGAAAAATATTACAAAAGGTTCAAGAGGCTAAATATAACTGAGAGATCAAAGGCTAAATGGGTAATGGAGGTAGCAAGTAGCTTACTGACAGTGATATGTTATAAAATTTACAGTAATAACTGTACAGAAGGAAGAAAGTTACATGAAGTTATAGTATGAGACAGTATAAGAGAAGTCAGTATGCCGATGCTATCATTTGGTAGTAGAGTTAACAGGATAGGAAAGTAAGAACCACGTGACTTGATCTTGTGGTTTATTGTATCGGTTCCGTTAATTACTCAGGGTTAAACAGGAAGTTACCAGAACAGTGACTACTCTAAAATATACCCAAAAAAGGGTGCGAACAAGGAGATAATAAAATAGAAGTGCTGTACCGTGATAACAGAATAATATTAGATTTCAAATGCTCGAAGTTTCAATGAATATAATTGCTGAATGGTTTAATGATTCGAGAGACAGATTCCACAATCATGTTGGAATTTCAAAACGATGGTAAAACCCTCTTTGATAAGCATAATTCTGGGTGGAAATCAAAGCTCACAGATAAAGTGTTGTAGTTTTCACAGTGGAGGCTTGTATTTCAATAAGTCGTCCTAAATGTCCGATATCGACTGACTCGCTCAACACCACTGAGCCCAACTGGCGACCGCTACTACTACTACTACTTATTATGTGTAGGAGAGTCTATTAATAATAGAATAGGTACGTCAGGTATAACATAAAAGACCGTAGAATAGTAGAACGTCTTGTATATGGAAAGCATCGAACTACAGCATCAAAAGTGACAGCAGATCTAAATCATTGTCAACTCCGTTTCAACTAAAACAGTTCGACGTTAACCGACATTGATAAACAGAAAAAATGGTGTCTAGAAGTGGGATCTAGAAGTGTCCAATGGTTCAATCAAAGTATGTCGTCTCTGATGAATCATAATTTACACTTTTTTACACTGCAGGGAAAATCAGAGAGCCGAGTTCGAACTACAGTCGGTTACATTTACTTATGCGTAAATACCTTTGTATTTAAATTGTTAATGCAGTATTCACTTGCAAAAATGAATTATTCTCACAATCCAAAATATGTTTCGGCTTTAAATACTATGCAAGGGGTTGATAAACCGTAAAAAGCAAATCACTCAATCAATCAATCAATCCATTTCACTTCCGGACAAATTTATATCAGGAGACAAACAAAACAATCCTTCAACCCTGACTGGTTTGACTCCTATCGTAAAGTATGGCGGTGGCTCTGTGATGTAGCAATATCACGTAATTCTATTAGATTTTTAATTGATTTAAAAAAAAGAAAAAAGGAAATAGATCATCTCCACAAGTAAGAAGACATTTCCCTGTTTTAACTTCTCTCAGTTACAATGTCGCTGTCGCTGAAAGAGCTAAAACTGGTTTCATTTGAAGAATGGCTTAACATTCTCTGAACAACCGTTCAGAACTTTTACACGTTAAATCCTCGACGTATTAAATCTATAACTGATGATTAAGGTGAACCAACTTCATATTAAATAATAAGAAAACTTGGACCTTCGTGGCTGAAAAAAACGCCCCCAAAAAACGGAGTGTCAAAAGGTTTTCCCTTGACACTGCTATTATTTTAATTGCCTTCACTCCTTTGCTATGATATAAAAAGCTATAATTAGAATTCCATTCTATAATTAGAATTCCATTCTATAATTAGAATTCCATTTTTTAATTAGAAAACCTAGACATGTGATAAAAGTGATTTATAAATTTTTTATTCTTGAGAATTCACAACAAAAATATTAAACACGATTTATTTCCAAATAATAAATCTCCATTTAACAAGGTGTTTACAAATTTTTTGTTCAACATATGTAAACACATTTGTTCACATAACTATTGTTTCAATATTTTGTTGTCTTGGCGATACAAGAAAGAAAAGTCACATAACATTAACATAATTTGGGATCATACTAGGGATTGTGAGTAAAGAAGATATAATGTTAGGGTGATTTCTTTCTGGGTAGCTACAGGATCAATGTCAAAACCGACAGTGAGGTGATAAGCAGAGTAGTGAAATCTTATATTGAGAGTAGGTCGTACATGTTTCATCTGAACTCTGCTCCCTCTCATATAGCTGACCGAGTATTTTTCTAAGCATGACACCGTCAAAACACTAATTTGAATTCCACGGACTACTACTACTACTACTACTACTACTACTAATGGCATAATCGATAGGGAAACCAAACAGCGACTCTACAATACCAAAAAATGTTTCAGGGCCGTCATCATAGACGCGATGGTCAACAGGAAAGAGAACAACCTGATTAAGTCGCTTCCGAGGCCGCATCAGTACAGACTTTGCGTAAGATGGCGTCTTTGAAGGTCGAGTAGCAGGCCTCAATACCAAAGACTTGTTGAAAGTTACTTCGTGAACACGATGATCAACATTCCATCGATGCTGTCCTCGTGAATGAAGCATTTCTTTTAATAAACAGTTTATTTTATCAAATATCTTTGTTTATCTTTATAATTTATTCCAAATTACTTGGAACACACGGTATATACATATTTTAAAGAAACAAGTTTCAGTCAGGCAAAAGCGAAAAGAGTAGTAAGATTAAGCAAGCCTACTGATTAATGGAGATACACTTTATCTGCGTGATGCCGTGACTGCAGGCTGACCTGAATAGCTTGATACTAAGACCACCAACTACACTCAACTAATTTCTTCATTTATCCAGGCTAATTTTCAATACTAATGGTGTCAGTATGGGAAATCCGCTCAGCCCCTATTTCTCCAATTGCTACATGTCCCATGTAGAAAAGATGATATTTAAACTCATTAGTAAATCCGAAAAAGATGTCCGCTACGTAGACGAGATTTTTATTTTAGTGAAAAATCAACAAGAAATAGATAACCTCAAACAGTACATTTGAACAAAACTCCCATTCTTAGATGTTCTCGTAGACTACAGTAATAACATTTTTCACCACCTCATTATATAAAATACTCCACTAACAGAAACTCTTGCCACCATAATTTTAAGAGTGAATGCCTACTAA